TATCTATTCTGCCCACAACTTAAGCAAGTTCAAGATCAAATTTGAATATTTATCAGATAATTCCATAATAAGGCAAAAATGCAGATTTGAGATGAGTTCAGGATGAAATAGCATATATGTACATTATCTTTTGAGAGCTTTCTCAATGTTTTCAAAGTATAAATATGCTATGAGAAATTCTTAGATGCTCCCTTTTTTGTTATTTTTATTTATATATATATATTTTTTTTACTTAAAATGACTTTAAAGAAAATGAGTTGGAAGTAATGTAGCTTTTCATCAGCAGACAATCGAAAGACGTGCAAATGAAAATTCTACGATTATATACCTTTTTCATCAGCGCATTTCAATGACTGATTTAGAAAGAAAAAGCAATAATCCTGCCTCTCGGTGCACGCCGCAACTTGTCACAATATCTGCTGTTAAAAGATGTGCCAAACATCCATTGTGTCCTTGAATAGGAAATTACGTTGGAGTGTTTCATGATGCAACATGCAGTCGCAGTCACTATCATCTTCTCCACAATGGAGAGCAAAACAAGCCAGCAGAACAAAACAAAGGCAAAGCACCTCTTGGCGAAGCAGCCACAAGACTTTGAAGTTATCTAACATTTCTTCAGAGAGACCGACTTTGATGTTCAGAAAGCTCCTCTTGAACAGTGACATATTCCCCTGGAAATAATTGTCAAAATTGTTCGTGAGCAACCTGACTGCCCTGAAGGCAGGATAGATTTGAACTGTTGTTATTCTTTGTTCAAAATGTTCTACCCCCCTTTAGGCTCTTGTTTGGAATTACAAGGTTTTTTTTAGGCTTGTTGAGTTGAGAAATTCATATTTAAAATAAAAAAAAAGAAAAAGAAGCTCTCATCTGTGATAGGAAACAAATATTTTTTGTTGGTTTGTCATTTTGTTCAAGTGAATAAATCAGGAACAATCTTTTAGTGGACAAAAATGATGTGGATTTCTGGATTTCAACTGTCGACAGAAACATACATGAGACTTTCCAGGTATTAAACAATTTTTAACACTTGGTCTAAAATATACATAGAATACATACATACATATATATATATATATATATATATATATATATATATATATATGTATATATATATATATATATATATACAGTATATATACAGTATATAAATCAGATGGCATTTTTTTGCTGTGCACTGACACCTCATGCTGTGATAGTAACATTATAATTGATTTATTTGGTATTTTGGCAGCTTTTGTTTATTTTTGTGACACTAGCGGCTTTTATTTATTAGTTGCTGGACAGGAAGCATTAACAGACCCAGGGACAGGAAAACTTTAGACCGCATATGGTGCGCCAGCTCTAGCACTGAGCAATAATTTCAAACTATCCTAAGTATGATCAATACTTCAAAAGTACCACAGTTTACAATAGTAAATGAGTGATTGCTCTTTCCTGCATCGGTGACAAGGGAGAGCACAGGCCCGATCTAGTTAAGTGTTTATTAAAGTGGCACTTGCAGTTGACTCAAAAAATTGGCAGGTAATTTTGAAATTGCTTTGTTTTAAGCAAAGGGCAAAGCTAGGATTTTCCTAAATGTAGTTTTTATTCTTGATCAAAATCAATCTCCTATTTATTAACGAACCAGTGACAGCAACATTCAATAAAAAGCTAAGGTGGAAAAGTTCAAGTTTTTCTTTTTTTTCTTTTTCATTTATGAGTAAATAAGAAGAAACTAGCTCTTGTTTGTAGGACAAATAATTCACTTTTAGGGGTTTCTGTTTGAAACAAAGAACAACTTCATCTAATGGTTTTGGCTATTATTTCACTTTATAAAAGTCTTGTGAGTGTTTACAGACAAAATCTGTTTGATATACCACTAAATGAAACCCAGGTGTTAACACTGGTACCTTTAGCACAGCTTAAGAACCACTGCTCCTTTGCAGGTCTTATTATGTTATTGAGTATACAACAGTGGCATTATTAAGTCACTCAGAAAAGGACTTATGTTTCAACCATTTTTGAATTAGCATTCAAATAACACTGTTTTGCCACCTGGCTGGAGGACAGGCTGAGGAGCCTCTGCATTCCCCTTCTGATTGACTGTGTAACAACCTATTTGGTCGTAATGTGGTAAAGTGAAACATAATACCTTTGAAGGAGCCTAAGATCAATGACTCACACAGTATTTGCTGTGCAGCGTCTTCTCAGCATGCACGGCCAGTTGCAGCTGTTTTTACGCTTCCATTATGCATGCGTGTTGATGCTGCGAGACGTGTTGTTTTTTTTTCCTCCTTTCTTTTCGGCCGCTCTTTGCCTCATCATGTTGCACGGAATTGCGTGAGCCAACGTTGACCCTTGATATTTTTTTAAAAAGAGCCCACAAAAAAAAAAAGAATAAAAAGCTTTTTCTCCAGTCTTCTGTACTTTTTTCCTGTGTGTATATTTTTTTTTCCAAGTGCGTTGTAATGACCAGCCTGGACCAAATCGGCTTGATCTGATCCACCAGAGTCGTGCCTCGGCAGTTAAACTTCAAGCTTTTCTATACCTTTTGTGTGTGTGCAAGCATTCTGGAGCAGTATTGCAGCATTGCTGACAAAATAGTTACCTGTCTCACCCCAGTACACCTCGACACACGCACACACACGTTTCCTTTCTTTTTGTGGATTCCAAGCCAGTCTTCTCTAGCTCCTTTGTTCCCGACTCTAGGCTAGGCTCACATCCTCTCTGCTCTCTGTAAGCCTGCTCCGCTCTGTCATCAGGATTACAGGCTGTGCTGTAGCAGATTAATGACTGACATCTCTACACTCCTCTCAGCATTGCAAGGCACACACGGAGTTACCAGGACGGCAGCCTGTGCCTGGTTGCGATGGAGAGAGGAACAACTGCGGGGGAGATAATGCATTGTGTTGGTCTAGGAACAATATGTTAGCAGTGAGATTCTACGCAGTGTTGTGTGGGTTTGTGCATCTGTGTGCACTTTTGTGTTGCTTATTTGGAAGCCGCCGTACGTGCAGCTAGAGCTTTCCAACCTCCACACCTCAGTGCAGCACAGCAGGTTAGAGTTAAGTCGGTGAACCAGGCCTCTGTTGAGACAAGCTTGGATTGATGCATGCATGCGTGCGTGTGTGTGTGCGTGTAATCACACAGGGATGTGTACTCGAGCCTTGTGAGCCCTGAAAAATGACAAACAAGAAACTTATAAGTCCCGGGATCACAAACTTCTGCCTTAAATGGACGCCTGAAACCTTTTTCTTGTCCAATAACATTTTTTTTCTGCCAAGACAGAACAGTTTGCTTTTTATTTGTTTGTTTAAGTCAGGGAGGAAAAGTGACAGCAGTGCAAGCAGGCAAACAAACCAAAAGCGAGCGCTTTGCAAAGTTTTGAATTGAATTAGGATTTCATACCACCTCAGAGTCTTTGAGAAGCAGCTTATGGGTGTCATGAATTACTAAGTAGCAATATTTGGGGCTGCTCACTGCCATCAAACAGCTGAGGCTTAATTTCCTGAGATTTGCCCTGGAGTGTCCATGAAAGTGGGCTGGCTGAGCTGCTATCTGAGGAATGAAAAGCCTCTTTCGCTTAAATTCTGTCAAGAAATCTTCCTGGAAATCATAATTAAGCTTAAAATGGTGAATTATGATCAATCATACATTTATATTTCAATGGGTTGTACTTAAATGAAGACTAAAAAGGAGAGACTACTGTCTCCCAAACCATTCAAGTGTTTTAGAAAACAATAATCTGAGCCTTTGCTAGTGTAAGCTGCAATGCAGCAAGAGGTCATATTTGGCTTTAAATAACATGTTACTTGTTTTTATCAGAACAACACAGCATGATAACAACACAGCGTGCCGCTGTTCCTATCATGACATTTGGGACTTTGTGTTGTTATCAGAATCTTTGTCGGTGCATTCCCATGCCTTACTATACGGTATGCTGTTATTGGGTAATTGTCGTTTGAGGAAAACGTGAATCAGTTCTGTAGCTTTGGTGCACATCTGTGATTTGTATGACATGTTAAATGACATAAAGCTGTTGACATGTTTGAAAAACCTCCAGCTGATAACGAAATTTTACATACAACAGTGTCAAATGTGTAACAGACCATTGCAATGACTTGATCTACCAAAAATACAAGGGAGATAAAAGTTGAAGATAGTAAAATCAGCTTTATCTCATTTCTAATCTGATTTTATTAAAGCAGTTTTAAATTTATGACAAGAAAACTTTATGTTCCATCATGATGTGCTGTATCCTCTCAGAGTTTGTCCAGTTTTTCAACTATTTATTATTAGAAAGTCATATGTGTTTATTTGAAGCGTGCTGCTGTTCCTATCATGACATTTGGCACATTGGTTTTGCATTTTACTGCATTTTAGTACTTTAAATGTAGTTATATTCTGCTCTTTGTTCCCTTTGCCTTCTGTCAGACATTTCTTCATTCTCCTCAGTTCAAATTCTCTTACTTGTGTTCGCTCATAGCTCCACTTACTTTCTAATCAACCTCCTGCTCCTTGTTTAATCAACTCTTCAACCTAAATACCTCTGTTCGTCAGCTCTTGGTGAAATCTTCTCGTTGTTCTAAGATTCCTCCTTGTATCTTTAATTCTCATACATTTTGCAACATCTGTTTTTAGTAAAGTTGCTTATTTTCACCTGCGTTCCTCCTCTTCATTTTTATGCCAGTAAATGGCAGTTCTGTTTAAACCTTGATTTTGGATTAAAATGAAGTATATTCATGCTGCTCATCCACGGTTCATCTTCCTTATTTACGAGTGGATCCGGCTGATTATTGTGGCCTTCCAGTTCCAAGAACTCTCCATACAGATTCGCTTAAATAAGTTAAAGGCATTTAACTTTGATCAGAAACCATCACACAATGGTTCAATGGTTAAAAAAAAAAAAAACGATCTTTGTTTTAAAGCAGTAAACATTTTGGTTATTTCCACTTTTGTCATTAACTTTCATGTTTTCCTTGTTAATTTCTGAATGAATGACCATACATCCACCAAGCAGCTGTGGTAAAATACTTTTATAGAGCATTAATCCATATCTGAAATAAAGCATCCAAGCAGCTCTGATACATACAGAACTCGATTCACCATTTTTATCAATTCACATATACTTTCTATGTAAGTATGTGTGTGTGTGAGCACTGTATGTACATGTAGACACATGTAATATTTCATCAGTTACAGTATAATAAAAGGTTTAAATCGGGTCATAATAGTTTTTTTTAAATGTCACTTGATATAAAAGCTGGTGTGCTGACCCTCATTAGTCCATAAAAGAAAAATCTTAGTCTCTTTCTTCCCTTCCCTATAAATTCTTCTCATTTAACCTTTAATAAATATGCTCTCTTATCTGCTGTATTGCCCCTTTCTCCCCATAGCTGCAAAGTATATATTCTCTTTATGTCTCCTAATAGCTTCCTGACTATGAGTTTTATGGCAGACTAAACTTTTGCATTTTCTTGACTTCAGCATTTTTTTTTCCATCCTGCACCTGGATCAAATTTGTAAGTGCTGAAGATGCATGAAAAGAAAACAGAAACAACATGTGCAGTCTAGTGAAATCATTTCCGTCATATCTAACAGTAGCAGATTAAAAACTGTTTCTCCCTCATAGTGATTTGTTTGCATCTTAATCCTTCTGGTAATTTCACAGTTTTTTTTTTAACCCCTCCAGAGTCAATTTTTTTGTATTTATTTTTTTTGTAAAGAAGCGTGTGCGGTGTATTACAGTAACAAAATGTCTTTTCCCCACACCCCTATCTCCTGACACTTAGAGGAACCAAAAGCACTTCTTCCGGTTCTTCTTGGTGGAGGCAGGGGGCCGCATTAGTTGTGGAGAGTCTTGTTGCTGAGGTGTTGTAGTCTGGGAGGTGGGAGTCTGTGGTGAGCCCTCTGGAGGGTCGCCCACCTTCCAAGTTCGTACCACCTGCCCTTCTTGCAGACGGAAATCGTGCTCCACACTGAAAAGAGGATTTAAATAAAAAGAAAATCATTAAATATCTGCATTTCTTTCTCTTGGATACATGAAGCCGACAGAAAAATAAAAAAAAAAACACTCAAATAATCTTCTGCAAACTTCCCCAGAATCAATTATACCTTAGAATTACAATAATTTTATATGGAAATGTGTTTCAAAGAATGCATTTAGATAAGGAAAAAAATTACACTGTTACTCAACATCACATATTTAGAAAACACTTATCCAAGAAAATTTAAATCCCTCACTGGGGTTGATGCACCTTTCTATGCTTCCAATTTGAGTGAAAATATCTCTCTTCAACAACAACTTACAGCACTGTAGAAGCATGTGTTTACAGTAATAGTTTATTGTACACTATATTTCTCATGGGTTTTTGTGTTCAATCTCTCCAAAGGATTCATAGCTTGGTGCAGATTTTTTAATATATCTCTTATTTTGTCCTTGCGAAGGTTTCTTCAAGTGCGGTCCCTGTTTTGTAGAGCTCTTTGAAATGAACCTCTGCTTGAAAAACAACACATAAGTAATTCTGAGTGGTGCTGAGTCATGATGCACAATGGAAAGTTTTTATATTAGTGAGGTTCACGTTGATCAGGAAACAATTTCCGAAGAAGAGCTGGGAAGAGCATTTCAGGTTGCCTTTCGGTGTACATACAATACACACTGATTAATATTCTAACAATGTAATAACTCCTCATTTCCATTTCTTTTACCATTTTTAAATTAAAACATTCTTGGTTTCTCTGGATTGATATTTAAAATCTCATGTAGTTACAATCATGCTACGCCATGACCTAACAAATTTCTAAAGATCTGTGGAAGAGAAATAGTCAAACGGCATCCCTCCTGTTTTCTTTTTTTTTGTTGTTGTTGTTGTAAACAAGAATCTAGTAATCTTTTGGAATAATGAATGAAATTGATTACACATTGCAACGGGGACGACAAGCTAATGTAGCGCCCTATCAATAACTTACTGATATTTAAACAAATGGTATTGGTATATTGACTCGCTGTCTACGATGAAGCAACAGCGATAAACTTCAATCACAAACTCCAGGGGTCTCTGTCTGTCTCTGTCTGTCTGTCTGTCTGTCTGTCTGTCTGTCTGTCTGTCTGTCTGTCTGTCTGTCTGTCTCAGTGAGGTGGTTTTAGGTACTGAAAAGCTAAAACTTTACAGTCTCATTTGACTAAGTTAGAATATCAGTACCTACCATCATAACTTTAGATTTGTAATGTTAACTTTCCACCAGCATGCCTTCCAGACTTTGTGAGCCCAAAGTCCCAATCTTTAGGATAACCCACCAATACTAATCTTTGTTTAATTTTTCTGTGCTTTTTTTTTATTTAACCAGAAACAAATTTTTTATGGACACTGTGATGCCAAGATGCCACTCTTGTGCATTTCTCTAGAAGTAGAGATATGTTTTTTTCTCTCTACTTTTCCACTTAGTAGTTTTTGGTGACTAGAAAAATGTGGATCACCCTCTGGTCATGTTTAACAATGTTTTATTAAAAAAAAAAACATTTTAATTATTTTTCACAATCAACAAAATCCCTTCCAACGTAAAACGATGCATGAAGTGAATATGAGTGTCTGGTCTGACAATGTTGTCTACAGTGTTGCTCATACCTAACACGTCAAATCATCTTGTGACTCACAGACACAAGTTTTTCTTCATGTGTGATTTTACAATGTTAAAAATGAACGGTATTTTCATATATCTAGTCAAAGCAAACAAAATATTATGAAATGATAAAATCTATAAAATGTATTAACGACAATGCATGCAAATTCCCCTTTTTCCTGACAGGCACAAAAAAAAAAAAAAAAAACAGCACATAAAGAGACCGCTGTGACATTGTGTCTGGCACAACTTCACTTACTTTCAGGTGTAAGGAATGAGACCCCTTGGATGTCTACTTGAAACAAAAGCCTTTTTTGAAAATCTAATTTATTTCGGATTCGCCCCACCTCTAACCCTGCTTGCAAGATTCAGAAGACATGCTGGGTATCCTGAGGAAACCCGTTTGCTCTTTAAAATTGGGTGATGAGTCTCGCCCGTAGCTATGGTTAGGACACAAGTCCAAATTGCTTTGATGTAAAGAGCAGATACTCGTTTAGAGAAAGGGAGCAGAAATTGGGTTATCTTAATGGTTTCCAAGTCATGCTGGGCTGAAAACAAAAGTAAAGAGAACATAGCCCATAACCAAACATCTTCTCAAAGAGGAGTAACAAAAGCTTATTAAAAACCCCGAAGTGCATCAAAAAACCTTTCAGATCAACCAATAACCATTGGATAAATGTCTTACATTTAATGCATTCTGCCCCAATCCTCGTTCGTTAAGGTGCATCTCATGTTTTCCTTATATTTCCTGAGTTCAGTGAGTTTTTTTTTAGAAATAAAACACAAAAATGTGTCTACATGAAGCAGTTCCTAACTGATGTAAAGCTGACTGTTCAGCCGTATATCTTACATTCAATTGTAAGATAAACTGATGTTTTAAAAACCATATTGGTTTAAAAAGGAACCAAAACGATTTCCACTGCTGGTTCAGAAATGATTGAACTCATTTTTGCCCAGAATCACATTTATTTATTCTAAGAATCTGGAATTGCAAACAGATGAGTGAGGTTACTGCTTTCAAGCCTTTTTTGACATCAGGTTTTCAGAATGAAAATGAAGTTTATTACACTTCCAGCAATCTTCATTTACAGTTAAGGGCTGATCATTACTGTGTAAAATACGTTTATATTGGTCAAATCTTGGGGGAAAAAAAGTAAGACATTGATTTCTGAGTGTTTTAAAACCTTGCTTATGTATTTTTTTTCTTCCCCCCCCCAACAGCTTTCCAATTTTGTAACGTTTTTTGAAACTTATGTCTGCTTGAAAAACAACACAAATAATTGTGAGTAGTGCTGCACAATGGAGAGTTCTCATATTAGAAAAGTTCACCTTGATCAAGAAGCTGATTCTGAAGAAGACGTGGGAAAGAGCAAGGAGTCATAGCTTAGATGCATGTGTGTTGCTTTTTCCATATGTTCCTTATAATGTGTGTTTGTGTCTGGGTGTGTGTGTATTGGACTATAATTCAGAGTTTCTCTCATTTTTACTGATGAAGGAAATATATGTGTTTATACTGAAGTGCACCAAATGCTGTTTGTTAGAAAGATTGTTTATTTTCAAAAGATACGGTGACATTTGGCATTATCCCAGTTTATTTGCTTTATTTACTATTTGGTCCTTAAAAGAAAACACATTTTCTTTACTTCTCTTTTTTAAATTAAATAATTGAGGTCATAAGAGCAGTCAACTTTATTTTGTCTTTTTTAGGAAATTGATTTTTGCCGAACCTGAAGGGAAACGATCATTCTTTGTCTAGTCTGAAAAGTTTGAGATCCACTGTTTTAGGAAAACAATCTTCTATCAATCTTGATCTGAAAAGATTGGTTTAATTCGATTGTTTGAGGATTTTAAAACTGTCTAATCTTGTTTTTTTTTTCTTTTGGCTAATGCTTACTACACTACACCTCTATTTTTTTGTACTGCATCAGGCAATTAGTGAGTATTTAACTCATTATTGATAGTTACATGTTTGCTTAACAAAGACACATTTTGTAACCCATTCAGTATTGAGTTGCATCACTTTTCATAGGGTAAGACGGATCCTCAAGTGGGGAAAACCAGTGAAAGATGCAGTGACGAATCCACATCTGGTACCTCCTACAGTCCACAATGAAGACTTTGAAAAAGTAAATCAAGTGCAGAGAGGCTGAATATCATCGACTAGTTCCAACAGCAGAGATTCTGGGGTTGCAGTCAATGCAGACACCAAAAGAACAAGTCAGCAAGGTGCACTGATAGTCACGTGGCACCATAGCTTTGGGGCTTCACTGACAAAATGAGATGTGAGCTCTGATGCGCTGCCTTGGAAGCCATCAGTAAAAGGTAAGCAATAATAAACGAATGCATCTGCAATACAGAAAGAGGAAAATATCAGCTTGCTGACTTAGTTTTGCCAGGAGTTACATGTTTAGTAAGCAATCCCCCTATTAACGGATTCTTCTTCCCTCTCTTCCTTTTTTATTCACTTTTCTTCCCTGCTATTTTTGCTTATTATGCAGTGGCCTAGTTAGCTGGTGTTTCTCATCACAGCGCAGATGCTGGAAATAAAGAGGACTCCCTCGGCAACGATACAAGGAAAGAAATGTTGCAGAGGAAGCAATGAGGATGGAGCTCAGCAGCAGGAACTGAAGTTTTTAAAGCAAGAACAATGAGGACTCACATTCACATCCATCTCGCTCCACAACACCCACACCCGCAGTCACTCAAGCACTTTACTACGGATGCCCACTGCTATTCTAATGCGCAGCAAACCTAATGAAACCTCGAACTTCAGAGAGCGACACGATACGAGCAGAGTGGATGTGGACGACGTAAACAGTGGAAAAGTGTGTGGGTTCACGGAGCAGTGGAGAGGATTTCTTCCCTTTGCAATATTTACAGCAGGTGCGGGGAGCTGGGGGAGCGTTCAGCTAAACTCCAGTCTGGCAGTCAGGACTCCTTCACAGTGGAAAATAAATAAATGAATAAAAAATCCTCCAAAGCTGTGTCAAATGAGGGAACAGTGTGCGGGAAAACAAGTCATGGAAGTTATCTGTGGGGTTGTGCTGCAATGAAATAACCCAAATAAATAAAAGATGCCATTCTCTCATCTTCACTGCCACTCTATTTGTGCCACCACACACCCCGGCTCCCAGAAGATCTCCTCTGTGACTTGTCCCCAGCCTATTCTCTCTTTGTGAAAATGAATAGCCTCGGACCATGGTAATGTGTGATCAAGGCATAGTGGCTCCGCGGGGGGCCGTAGGGTGGGGGACTTCCTACCCTCAGCCAGAACTATCTACTCACTGAGTTCACAAACTGTGGCAGGCAGGAAGCTGCGAACCTTACATAGGTCTCCCCACTGTTCCTCTTTAGAGCG